TAGATAGATAGATAGATAGATAGATAGATATGGATAGATATAGGATAACATAGATAGATAGATAGATAGATAGATAGATAGATAGATAGATAGATAGATAGAATATCTACTCTACTCTACTCTGATGATATTTTTTTTAAAAGGGAAAGAAATGAACAGGAAGCAGTTTGCAAAGGCCGCTTCGCCTTCACCCACCTGGCACCCTTCAGAATAAAACAAAAACCAAAAAACCCCACAGGAAATCCAAAATTAGGTTTCAAAAGTCTGTCCGCCTGTCGAGAGAAAAGTAAGCAGAAACTGGCCGGATCGGAAGCGGGGGCAAGGAGGTGGGGAAAAAGGGGGTGTTTCCTGATGAGCCCCAAGAGGCCTGTTTTGCAAGAGCTCAGGCAGTCCTCGTCTTACTACTGTTCCCACTTAGTGACCTTTCAGACATTATGGGAGCTTCGTCGCTGGGGGGAGCTTTCAAGAAGAGACTGGAATGCCATTTGTCAGAAAAGGTGTAGGGTCTCCTGCTTGGGGTGTGGGGTTGGACTAGATGACCTACAAGGTCCCTTCCAACTCTGCTAAATCTGTTCAATCTAGCCCGTCCTCAATGCCTTTTCATCCCCTGCTCATTTCCCTCGACTGTGAGTTGGCCAGATTCTTGCAGAGAGCTTAAAGCTGGCAATAAATCTCCATGCAGGAAGTCCTCGACTTACGACTGTTCACGTAGCGACCTTTCAGGCGTCGTGGGAGCTTCGTCGCTGGCAGTTTTCAAGAAGAGACTGGACTGCCATCCATCAGAAATGGTGTAGGGTCTCCTGCCTGGGCAAGGGGTTGGACTAGATGACCTACAAGGTCCCTTCCAAGTTAATCTGCTAAATCTGTTAAAATCTAGCCCACCCTCAATGCCTTCTTATCTCCCGCTCATTCTCCCTTAACGATCAGTTGGCCAGATTCTTGTAGAGAGCTTAACCTGGCAATAAATCTGCATGCAGGAAGTCCTCGATTTACGACCGTTCATTCAGCGACTCTTCAAAGTTACAGTGGCACTGAAAAAAGTGACTTACGACCGGTTTTCACAGTAACGACCGTTGCAGCATCCTCCTTGGTCATGTGATCAAGATTTGGACGCTCAGCAACTGACTCATATTTATGACGGGCTGCAACGTCTTGGGGTTACGGGATCCCCTTTTGCGACCTTCTGACAAAATCCGCACAGGAACCCGATTAAAAAAAAAAAAAAAACTTCAGGAAACTGGAGCCATGCAAGGCAGCTTCCTGAAGCCCTTGACTCGAACCCCTGCAGTGATTTGCTTAACAACGGTGGCAAGAATGGTCGTAAAAGGGGGGCCAAACTCAGTTCAACAACCATCTCGTTTGGCCGCAGAAATCTTGGGCTCAAGGACTGCCTGAAAATAGATGAAGAAATAACTCAGGACCACAACGGAGCTCAACATTTCTGTTGCTGAGCGAGACATTTGTTAAGTGAGAATTTTGCTCCATTTTATGACCTTCCTGGCCACCTTGTTGTTAAGTGAATCACTGCAGCTGATAAAACAGAAATCCGGTTGTTAAGTGAATCCAGCTGTCCCCATTGACTTTGCTTGTCAGAAGGTCACAAAAGGGGATTACATGACCCCCGGGGACACCCTGAGCGACCGTCATAACTATGAATCAGTTGCCAAGTGTCTGAATTTTGATCACCCGGCCACGGGGATGCGGCAGTGGTCGTAAGTGTGAATAACAGCCTATTTCAGAGCCGTTGCAACTTCAAACAGTCATTAAAGGAATGGCTGTAACTCAAGGATTGCCTGTACATAAATAAATAAATATTCTATGCTGTGTTTCAGTTTATGTCCTGTTTGGGGAACTGCCCAGAAGCAACTGGCTGAGAATCGCTGGAATTCGATTGTAGGACCACACCTCTTTTTTGTTATTTTCCAGCAATATATATATATATATATCATAATCCCCTGCCCTTTGCAAAGACAAAAACAAACATGGTTACAAACATCTTTGGAAAAACTAAAATGCAGACAAACTCAGCCAAATTCGGTCACAGGTTGTTATTGGCCTCCATGTTTATCTAAGAGATAAGCTAGGAGTACGGCTCTGCAAAATTCAGGTAATCCTCAACTTACGACCATAATGGAGGTTAGTATAGAAAACAACATAGAATAGAACAGCAAATGGAACAGAACAGGGTGGAATAGAATATAGAATAGAATAAAACATAGAATAAAATATAGAACAGAATAAAATATAGTATAGAATAGAAAG